GGGGGGGTCTGTGAATCTGGAGGGCGGGCTGCAGGGTGGAGGGGTGGGGGTCTGTGAATCTGGAGGGTGGGGTTCTGGTCCTGGCTGCTCCATGGGATTTATCTTATTGAACAAAATGTAGAAAAGGGCCTAACATGTAATTTGCACACGGGGAACATGCCGCATGACTACCTCCCAGACCAAGGAACACAACGCTATCAGCACCTCAGAAGCTCCCCCCATATAATTGCTATCTGCCCTGCCTGCCGGGTGGCCCCGCCGCACCTCCTGTGGGGACGAGGTCCTGCTGTGTGCTCTCTTCCATCTTCCGTGCCTGAGTCCCAATCGAGACAGCAAACGGTTGGGCCAAAACATCTCAAAGCACTTCCCACAAGCTCTGAATTTGTCAAGTGGCACAGAAGAGAGCATCACAAGGCAGGCTTCCTGGAGGAGATGGCACTGGGCAGGCCCTGGGCAGCTGGCATCCAGTGGCTGAGCTGGCAGGAGTAGCGAGGCGAAGCTGTAGCCAGATAGACTCTTGCACAAACACACACAAGTCTCCCAGTCAACTCCCAGGGTGTGGTTAGGCCCTAGCTCAGAGAGGGCGGGGGCCCGGCCCACAGCACTCACCTCCAGCACACGCCCCGTGATGTATTTCTCGCATCTGTCACAGCGGATGCCGAACTTGGCATGGTAGTCAGCTTCGCAGTAGGGCAGGCCGTCCCTGCAGTGAGACAGGCAGTCAGCACAGGGCGAGGGTCACCCGAGGACCCTTGAGATCTAACAACCCTCACCAACAAGAAGCTCTGCCCTCAAAGTGGGAGAATGTCCAACCTCCTCCTGCCCAGGTAACAACGCCTCCAACAGACCGTGTCATTGGGCTCACACAGACCCCAGCCCCACGAGAAATAGGACGACAATGGTCCCATTTCACAGACGAAGAAACTGAGGAGCACAGGCCAGGCCACCTGCCCAGTGGGTGGGAAGGGCTGACAGCAGCAGCTTCTGGGGAACGAGAGCTGCTTCTGCAGACCTGGCTCTTCTTTCTGGCTCCTTCCATCCAAAGTTCAACATCTGGGGCACCTCAGAAAACTGTGAGCCAAAAAGGGGGGGACAGTAAGGGCGCCCACATTGGGGATGGGGTTGGAGTATGACAGAAAGCCCAGGGGAGGGTGTCGTAGGTTAGGACGAGACTTCACTGTCCCCCCTGCATCCTGCCCTGCATCACAGTCCCCGAATATGAGAGGGTGACAAAGGCTGACTCTGGCCACACGTGGAGGGGCCTGGCCTTCTGTAGTGCAGGAAAGAGCAGGAGGGCTGCACAGACGTGTCCGTCCCCTGTCCCCACGCACACGTGCGACCTGCCTGCTATGTGCCAGGAGCATAGGGCTCAGGGAATTGGTGTCGAATGCCCGTCATCCTGGGCCTGCACCTCCAGCAGTGGCTTCCTCTGAGTCTGCATAAATGAGCTATAGAGAAAGGCATCTGCAGGGTCATCCTGGCACAGCTCCTGTTACCATGATCCTCACACCTGTTTTCATGATTATTAAGAGATCAACATGCCAGGAGGGATGGCTGTGCAGATGCGGGGAGGGCAGGTCAGCAGTGGCCACACTCGGTGCGGGGAGGTGCTGCTGAGCCGTGGTTAAGTGAACAGGCCTGCACTCAAATGCCACATCCCAGCTGTGTGACCATGGGCAAGTCCCTTAACCTCTCTGAGCCTCAGCTTCCTCATCTGCAAAATGGGGGAAATAATAGTAAGGACGAATGAAGAGAATGGCAGGCCCTTTCCAAGGTGGCTGAAGCCATCGTCATTACTAAGTAGGGCTGTCCTCCCAGCCCTGGCCACACCTAGCAGATGTGGGGGTGACTGGCACAAAGTGGGGTGCCTGCCACTCCAACGCGCCCCCCTCCAGCATCGCTGAAGTTGCTGTAGTGTTCCAAATTTGGTTTGAGTTTTTACACAGCTGCTACAGAAGGGAGGATTTGCCAGGCTGCCGTGGATTAGACCCCAGCTCACGTTCTTTTCCTGCAACCTCTGTACTGTTGCTAGGTCCCCAGGATGTGGGGTCATGAGCCCCGGGCCTGGGTGCCCCTCTCTGGCTGCAGCCTGGAAGTGGCCCACAGCTGGGCTAAGCTGCCGCTGAGAGAGAGTGGCAGCCCTTCCTTCCACGTGAGACGGAGACAAAATGAGTCCTCAGGCTTACTTCCAAATGCCACTGACCTCAGGACTCCTGTAATAACCCACAAATGGGTGTATTTGCAGCAAATGGGAGGTTAAAGATAACATCTCCATGGCAACACCAACGCCCTCCTCGTCAATTCTGGGACAGCTCTGGAGGCTGCTAAGTAACATGCAGGGTGTGGGTGAGCTGCCAACGCTGCGGGAGGGGCCTGCCGCCTGCACGGGGCTGCGTGCACCACACCGGGCGGTCCCTGGCTGACTGTGACACAGGTGGGGAAACTCATGCGCCCCACAGGTCCCTCACCCTGGGTGCAAGCTCACCTCGGTTTGGAGGTTTTACTTAAAATGATGTCTTAGAGATCATTGCAGATTCCACAGCAGTTGTAAGAAACAACACAGAGAGGTCCCATGTACTCTTCACCCAGTTTCCCCCAGTGGTGATGCAGAATTAGTATACACCCTCAGCCAGGAAGTGAACACGGGCACATCCACGGACGTGATTCAGGTTCCGTGTGACACGCGCTCGAATGTGCATGCATCTGCGTGTGTGTGTGTGTGTGTGTGTGTGTGTGCCTCACTCCGTGCAGTTTTATCACAGGACGTTTTTCATCTCCCTCAATTCCTGCGATGATTTTGCTCCCATTGGGCATTGAGAACAAGCACAGTGTAGAGAAAAGACCCTCTAGCTCCCAGGAAGGGGCCTCTGCGCTCAGAGGAGCTGCCCTCTTTCCGCTTGTCCACATATTCGCCCCTCACCTGCGCCATGCAGAAGGCTTGCCTGCCTCAGGTCCCCGACCCCACCAGGGTTAAAACCCACCCCCAGCTCCTGGCCCTGAGCTGCCTCCATTCAAGGCCATGATCTTCCCAGAAGGCTTACCCAGTTCCCAAACCGGCCACCACCCCAGCTTGACTGCACATTTGTGGGACATGTTTGGTGCCGGTGGCAGCCGTCCCAGGGGCCCCTGCCCTGCAGAAGACAGAGTGAGTGGCTGCGGGGCCCCAGCCCTGACACCTGCGATGGTCAGACCCTCTCCTCATCCCCGTGCTGGCCTCTGCTGACATTGCTTCACCTCCTGCAACACATCCAGGCGCCAGAAAGGGCAGCTGATCCCATGGGGATGGTGGAGAGGGACTGAGACGGAGAGGGAAGGCACTTCAAAAACTCAGCCCTGGCAGCCCTGGCAGCTCTGCTTCTCATCCATAAAAAAGGAGCTGGAAGCTGCAAACGCCGTTAGAGAAGCCAGGGCTGGCCAGGGAAGGGGGACACGAGGCTTTCAGGACAGATTCGCTAGGCTCTGGGCCACGCTTCTCACCCAGCGGCAGGACAAGAGTAGCTGCATGAGGAATAGGAGAGACGCAGAGAGGGTGGTGCCTGGGACACGTGCAGAGTGTGGGACCCCCGCAGAGTAGGGACGCCTGAGCGGAGGCTCTCACTGGAGTCCTCCTCCCACTTACTTGCTGATGTACTCGGCATTCAGGAGCTTCCCACAGCTCTTGCACTTAAAACAGCCCAAGTGCCAGTGCTTGTCCAAGGCTACCAGGGCCTGGCCGTTCTTGATTTCTGTGCCGCAGCCCCCACAACCTGAAAGAAAGAGAACAGAACACGGACACCCCCACCATTGTGAGAGGTGTGGGGGAGGCCCCCTGCTCTCCAGACTCCGTGAAGGCCCCTGGGGCAGCCGGAGGGGCGGGGCAGACAAGCAGCTGGGAGGAGCCTCTCACACAGCAGTCTCTGGAGCATGGGGAAGGCAACTCGGGAAGTTTGACCCTGCATGCATTGAGCGCTGACTGCATGCAGCCTGGGCTGTGAGCCGGGGAAGCCTAGATGAAGAAACAGAGGTCCTGTCTTGCCGGAGAGTGGAGTCAGCTCCCGGCACAGAGATGTGCCAGGTTGAACCCAACTGTGACTCGATGTGCCCTCTGAAGGGAAATGGACTGCATTAGAGAGGGCTGAGCCAGCCCCCAGCCCCCAACCCAGTCAGCCCTGGGAGCCCTCCTGCTGCACCCAGCCAGCCAAACCCACCTTCTCTCTTCCTGTCATCCCCATGGTGACTGGCACTCTCCACCCCATGGCCGCCCGCCTCGTGGGCCCCTGCCTGGCCTCCTGGTGCCCTCTCTGTCCCTCCCAGCCGTGCCTGCCCTGCTTACTTGCCCCGTGTCCTAGGGCCTGGTCTTTATGCACAGGGCTTCCAGCTTCTGGCCCTGCTCTGAGCCAGTGGCCCACAGTCCCTCCACCCTATGAGCCACCACACCAGGGGCTCCACAGCCAGCATCATGGGCGTGCTGCAGGCAGGGGTGCCCCTGGCAGAGCAGGTGGAGCAGGCTGGGGAGCTGGGGTGAGCCTGGTGCACGAGCCTGCGTGGGATGCGGGTGAGTGCGTGTGCATCTGTGTGCATAGCGTGTGACTGTAAGTATGTGGATGCATCTTACGGGACTGTGTGCATTTGTATGTCACCTGAGTCTTCCCGTGAGTCTTCCTGTGAATATATGAGGTCAGGGGTAGGGAGTGGGAGGCAGAGTGACAGAGACACCTATGACGGCATCCCCAAGGGAAAGGGCCTCTCGCAAGGTGAACACCTGGTGACAACAGCAGCAGCAACTGCGACAGAGCGGGGCCCACTGAGTCAACCGCCCAGGTGTGCATTGATTCGCGGATCATACACGCCCTCACTCCAGGGACCTGCACCTGTCATAGCTGAATGTGTGTCAGTGTGTGTGACTGGTGCATGAGGGTGTCTATGTCTGTGTTTGTGTCTGCATGTGTGAATATGTCTGCATGTGAGAGTGTATGTCTGTGTCTGTGGAAGTGTGTGTCTGCGTGTGAGAGTGTGTGT